TCTTATGAGAACAATATGGAATGCAAAATATACAGATTATAAGAAATGCAATATATACAAATACGGACGACGCTTGCCTAGTGTCAAGTTGAAGCAATATTTACAAATACAAAGGACACTTGCCTAGTGTATAATTAAACGATATGTACGGAAAACCCTGCCACTTGGTTATACAAACTCCACTTGGCTATACCAATGCCGATTGCAACTTGGCTGTACCAACGCCAATTGCCACTTGGCTAAACAAATGCCACTTGGTAACACTATAAACCCTTGGCTATCTATATACCACTTCGTACTAACCCGCCAACTGGCTAAGACACCTTCGATATACAATATATCTGTTATACTAATTACTTTCACAGTTGTATTTATTAGCCGTTCGACTTACAATTGTCACTGACAAATCTTCTTTTACCAACAACTTGGTTGCAAACGTACGACACCGTGACCACTGGCCATTCGCCTACTTATATAATCTTCGTATCAATGATAATAAGTGCGGGAATACGTATCTGTCATTTTCCGAGCATACCTTGCTCATCTTAACTAAACATTTCTTTTTGTTGTATTTTTATTTATAAAACATCCTTTCTTGTAAAACCATTTAAGGTCAGACGAGACGTTCCTCAAAATCTGTTTTGTATATCTTCGTAATGTATGAAAAATATTCAAAATTTTCATAAAATTCTGATTTCTAAAGCAGTTTCTAGACGTTTTTAAAATATCCAAACACTTAAACATTTGAAATTAGAAAATTATTTTCTTCCCCGAAGGATTATATAAGAAACACTACCCCTGGTATCTTGCAGAAATGCCTGGTAAGGTACCTCAATTTTTTGTGAGTAAACATGTTTAAGTAGCAACACTTCAATGACAAACTCTTAGAAAAATTTATCTATTATTAAGGAACGTCTCGTCTGTCCTTAATCAAATAACCAGTTAATTATATTATTTACAATTATTTATTGATTGTACAATATGGCACAAGGGAGTTAACTCCCAACTGTTTCACTAGTTTGAACACCTAACCGTCTAAGCAAGCTACTCTAAGTATACATACAGTGTTACGTAGAGATTGTGTCTGTCACTGTCTGACCTGACGTATGTTTACATTGTCTCTCATCAACGTGTTTTACATGTAATATATATATTTTTATTGCGAAATGTACCGGGGTCGGGGGAGAGTCAGGGCAGAGGCCTCTTCAGGTGTAATTTTCAAAGCAGAGGAATCTCGGGTTAAATGCATGAAAGCCACAAAATGGAAAGAAATCAAAGTACTCAGAAGTACAGAGAGCCGGGCTTATTTACAGAGTAGAATGGATTTCTTACATGAATCATGTTTATATTCTGATGAAAAAATTATTTTAAAACTATCAATATAAATGATAAGACACTGACAGTGAGTTTTTCAATCCTAATACCACAGTCCGATTTTGTCAGAATCAGAATTAATCTGGTACCGCAGCTGAATGTAAACAAACAGGCCAGTCTGGTTCCCTCTCCTGCTTTACATCGTATGTGTAGAGAACTACGGTAACACTGATTATCAAAAAATCCTTACGCTAATGAACTATGTTCTTTGACTTATGAAGTTTTCAAAGTCATTACTACTAATGTTTGTTTTATATAGATAAAATTTCGTTTTATTTTTGTTGCTTTATTTAGCGTTTGTATTATCTCAAAAGCGGTCGAGAGTAAGAAATATATTTTTGCACGTAACTTTAAAATGGCGACTATGGGGTCAACATCCTGCCTTGAACAGGATCACATAAGCCGGCAATTGCTCTTTGAGCAATAAGCCCGGCTAAAAAGCACAGGGACTTGCTCCCAGCGTGTAATACCAGGTAATTATTTATATAAAAAAAATCATTTAGAGAGTAATCCTAGGGAAGTAGTTGGGTAGCAAAAATGCTTCAAAATGCAGAAAAAAATCAATATTCACCTTTAAAATTCTTTTATGCATATTATTTGCCCACCGAATTTCTTTTTAAAATGTTAAATTTAATAAAATATTGACCTTCATTTTTCTATGCTTAATTTGTAAAGTACCATATTTTGATAGTTCCCAGTACTTAGCATGACCATTAGCAAGTGTGAAATTAAAATTGAATCGTAAACATTGTTGTTTGAATCTCTAGCATTGCTTTAAAAAATTAAAAACAAATTTAATTATCTCCTGTATCCCGTTTCCATGACAACCGAGGTTATAATTCAAAAATACTTCTACATTTCACAATCAATCACACATTTGTTTAAAATTATGACAGAAAAAAATCAAATCTGTAACTATGCGTTGCCAACCAATTTTGATAATTACGGAGAATTGGTCTTAAAATGCTTATGTACAGAGACTTTAGAGAATAACTTTAGCTCCTTGTAATGTATAATTTTATTAATGTTATAAGTTCAGTAATATTGCTATGCATCAATTAAGAACAAACATTACTATTGTTAGAGTTCAACACTATTTTTTAATATTTACCAAGTCATCATTTCTAGACGAAAATAATCAAATCTGTGAATGAGTGCATGTCAAAAGTGGATTTATTTTCTTTGTTGCTAAGGGGAATTTTCTGTTGCTATGGCAATAAGTACTTGCAAAATATTCCTGGATTCATAAAGAAGTCTCAGAAATATGTTTTTACTTTAAAAATTGATTTTTGTATCCACCGATAAGATTTAATTCCATAAATAACTCGCATATTTGACAATTTGTCTCTTTCTCTTAATCAAAACATCCATTTTTGTTGCTAGGCAACCGATTGTAAATATTAAAAAACACACGTTTTTGAATTTAAATTCCAAAAGGGAAATTCCTCTGCTTTTATGTAAAATATACCATACTCTTGTATTGTGCGGGAAGTTTGAGATATATGGCCTTGAAAATTGCCCAAATTTACAAAAATGCTGAATCAGCAAAAAATGCAAAACATGCATATCTTCCATTGCCCGTAAAAGAAATATCTTAGAATAAAAATAGTATGTATTGCATGGTTTTATCACTTGAAATGTTTATATTTATGATAACATTATTTAAGAACCCCTCTGGTAATATTCACATTAAATTTCAAGAAATTGAGAATATATTTATATAGGGTTTGAATAATTAATTTATTTGGTTCATAAGTTCTCACAACCCGGAGCAAATAATTTTCATTTTACATACGTGGTTCAGCAGAATACCTATGTGTGTACATCAGATAGATTTGTTGAAGAATCTATAAATGATTATCTAATTACCAGGAGAAAAGTATTAGGTTATATATATTTTCCAGTTAACTTACATAAGTTACAAGCAAATACTTTGAGCTTGTTCCTTGTTGAATATAATTTTATCAAAGAGAAAGGGGAATAATGTAAAATAACATTATCTAATTACCAATTCATTATATATATATATATATATATATATATATATATATATATATATATATATATATATATATATATATATATATATATATATATATATATATATATATTTAATAAAACACATTCCATAATAACTGGTTTTCCAATTTCAAATCCGGAAATAAAAAATCAATACGGGTTCATACTTTAAGTCATTTGGCGCGCTTTTAGTAAGCCTTGCAAGATGGAGAGGAAGAAGCCACGCTCGTCATCATGGTCACGTATTTTATCATGTTTAGTGACAATGATCATGTCTGTAGTAAATGCACAATGCGACAATTGTCGCATCGTAGGGAATGTAGCTAATTGCTTAGAGGCTAGGCGAAATTGTGTCTGGATACATACAGATCGTGTGACTGAAGTTCATTAGCAGATGCGAGGTCGCGGTCTTATTTTCCCCGCCATTGCTACATGTACCATTGCCCAATATAAGAACAGCATACCACAGATGTGCAATCAGTAAGTATGATTGAATATTGTATTGAACAGTGAATGTGTCAATCAGCATTATTGCATTTTGAGATTTCCCATCATTGCATCAAGTGTTTGACCTCGATCTCCTAGCTCTTGATTTTCATTGGTAGAACCGCGTTAACCTTCACCTTTAGGAAAGGGGGATATTTTCAAAAAGGTTTTTTTTTAACAAGCAAGTGTAGAAATAAATAAATGATAAAAAAAATCAACATATTTTTATTTTATAAATTATGAAGACTATTCTGGTATGAGAGAGGATAAATCTAATTATGTCTAGTTGAAAAACAAATAGGGCATCTTCAAAATGATGATGTGTAAAGTACACAGCAGAATTTTTTTTGCTTAGCTCAGCTCTGACCTGGAATGCCTGGTCTCTTATCAACCCAGAATCAACTAATGATAATAAGATCAAAGAAAGGGGAGAAGAATCAATGCCTAAAAATATAGAAACAAGACTTTGTTTTATTAGACAGTTATCTGTTGAACCTTTGTGTACATATGTTTGTGTGAGAGAGAGAGAGAGAGAGAGAGAGAGAGAGAGAGATTGAAAATAAAAAATATACTAGAAATCATAAAAATATTAGATATATTTATGTTATAAAGAAAATAGTAAAAGATCACTATGATTAAATATAAAATATACATAAAGAAATTAATAATTAAGTGGTTTTACATGACCAATATCAGAAATCATTATTTGAAAAAAAAAAAAAGAATAAAAAATGAAATCAAGTTGGATGACATATTTACTTTCAATTTTTTAATCTGAAATAGATAAAGAAACAACTACCAAATTGAGAACTACCATGGGATTGGGAACAACAACTGAGGAACTCATCACTACCAAAAGTCGGACCATGAGAACAGCATCGACAACTAAGGCGAGACTTGTAACACTAACTACCAAAAGTCCGACCATGAGAACAGCATCGACAACTAAGGCGAGACTTGTAACACTAACTACCAAAAGTCCGACCATGAGAACAGCATCGACAACTAAGGCGAGACCTGTTACACTAACTACCAAAAGTCCGACCATGAAAACAGAATCGACAACTCAGGCGAGACTTGTAACACTACCTACCAAAAGTCCAACCATGAGAATAGCATCGACAACTAAGGCGAGACTTGTAACATTAACTACCAAAAGTCCGACCATGAAAACAGCATCGACAACTAAGGCGAGACTTGTAACACTTACTACCAAAAGTCCGACCATGAGAACAGCATCGACAACTAAGGCGAGACTTGTAACACTAACTACCAAAAGTCCGACCATGAGAACAGCGTCGACAACTAAGGCGAGACTTGTAACACTAACTACCAAAAGTCCGACCATGAGAACAGCATCGACAACTAAGGCGAGACTTGTAACACTAACTACCAAAAGTCCGACCATGAGAACTGCATGGACAACTGAGGCGAGACTTGTAACACTAACTACCAAAAGTCCGACCATGAGTACAGCTAATAGAGTTAGCGCTGCCTTTGTTACTACGCCTGTGTCTAAGGAGGTGACCACATTTGCGTTGAAAGGTATTTCGCATTTTATTATTTATACTATGTGTTTAAACTTTTTCATACAAATAGAAAGAAGATATGTTTAGGGGAAAAATTTACCTGGAAATGTTTTTGATTCGTAGAATTTATATGAATATATGTAAAATTAAAATGTATATTCAATGTTGAAACAATGTAATTAATTTGATGTTTTCAGATATCATGATGTTAACGCTGGAGAGTGTTACTCCTTTTTTGTTGATCATCATTTTAATCATATGGTATGTATGGAAATGCGTGTTCAGCAACAAATTAACTGCAACAGCAACTCCCACAACATCTACCTCTTCCACGGAAGCCTCTACCAGTGCAACTACTGCATCTCAAACGGAACTGCCAGCTTCTCCCTGTTCTTCATCACTTTCTTATGAAGTTGAAGACCGAGGTGTACAGGTTACACCAACACGCCCTCTTGTAGAAGAAAGAAAACAACCTGAGAGGAAGGTTAAGAAGAAGCTTCCATTTAAAGTTTAACTGTGGATTGTGTCTCAAATTGCATTAAAAAAAATCTTATACATGTAGGTTGCGGATATATTTGTTTTAACAATATAAAGATAATTTTAAGAGTAAATGAAAGTCTAAGTATCCCTTGTGGATGATATTTGTTTTCTAAGACAATGATGGTATTTTTAAAAATCATTTTATTTAGATAAGATTTTTTTTTAGCTCAGCATTTTGTGTAAGGGTTTTTTTTTTTGTTTGTATGTGTACATGTACACATCTCCATATTTTTATGCAATTTGTTTCAAGAGTAAGTGGAAGTCTTAAGTATCCTGGTAAATGATACTTGTTTTCTATTACAATGGTGGTATTTAAATTTTTTGGTTTTGTTTACTAGAGAAGATTTTTTGTTTAGTTTAACATGGTGTGTAGAGGTTTGTTTTTACATACACACATGCACACATTTATTGGCAATTTGGTATAGTGTTATGTACAAGTAGCAGTAGTTTTGATTTTTAGTAGTTATTATAACTTTTATTGTTCATTTTTCTTTTGAACAATGCTTTGATTTGTTGTTTTAGGTAATCTTTTTACTCATTCAAATCAGTATTATTTTAAATTTATTAATTTCTTGTGGACAAGATTAGAAAAATAAATTCTGAGACTGACTGAAAAGATAAGCTAGGTAAATAAAGTAAAAACGTAAGATAAAAAAAGAAAAGAAATATCTTCCTATAAACATTCCAATCTGTAGTGTAATATTTAGTGTATTTAATGCTAGTCCCTTATTTTCTATTCCATCCTCTTTGGTTGTGATTTTTTGTTAAAGAAATAATTTGAAAAATATGCAATTGATATTTTAAAAGATATACATGTTTTTTTGTTTGTTTTTTTTTTTTCGAGTATAAAAAAAAAAAGAAGTGCCAATAATTTTTGAGATTGATTTTTTTTTTTGTAATTTTCCAAAGTAATTGTATGAACAGTTGTTGTTTTATACATGAGGTTTTTCATGTAAAATAAAAAGAAAAAAAAAACATAAAAATGCGACATGTTTGTTTAATTGTTCATTCCATTTTTTTTTAAATGGTGCTAATCAAACTTTTATATTGTGATATTTTAAAAAAAACACACAAGTGATTGTTTCTGTGTATGATGTTTGTTTTTATCTGTGATTTTTCTTTTTATTTTATTATTCTTTTTGTCAGTATTACAAATAAGCAGAGAAACTGCATGTTCCATTCTTTTTTTTTTTAAATAAAGATTTTATATTCCGACAATTGTTATGTTGTTTTTATCAGGATATTGAGGATTAAAATGGTTTGCAATATGTTATACAACCTTTCTGTTGACTTCAGAGATGAAAAAATTAAATAGCACTTCCTCTTTCATAAAGCAAGTTTTTAATATTTGTATATTTTTTCCAGAATGATCTACAATGAATACATCCAGGACAAAAGTTCAGTTTAGTGAGATAGTAGTGGAGTATGATATATCTCCTGATGAGGATAGGAAAAGTCCCTGGATTCAGATGGCCATTGATCGTGCTCATTTTCAGAGACGTATTAGTTTGTTAAAAGTGAAACTTGAACCTTTAATGCAGCAAAAGTTAAAACACCTAAAGGACAATGTAAATAAATAATCCAAATATATAAATTTAAGCTTAGAAAATGGAAGGTGAAGGTTCACTTTTAAAGGAAATCTTAAATTGCTTTGAAAATGAAGAACTTTTGCAATTTTTTGCAAGCTTTCATGGCATTACAGGGGATCCAGATGTTGAACACCGTTTGGAAGAGCTACGTAGTAATGGAATCCCTCCTAGTGATTTAATAAAGTCATGTATGCATAAAGATGTAGAGGAAAATGGTATTTCATTGTGTAAAAAATTTAAATCATGTGAGAGTGAAAGTTGCCACAATTCACTTCAAGTAGGAAGAGGTGAAAACAACTTTCCTTCCACTGATCATGTTAAACCATATTATATATGGAAAAAAGACCAGAAAACTTTTAAAAAAAATTTGGCCAAAGACACAACATACAAAATAAAGTTTAATGACAAATGGCGTGGAGAAAAGTTACTAGACATTTACAGTAAACTCCACGATATGTTTGATGATGTTTTACAGCAGGCTAGAGGTCACGATGCAGATTTAGGTCGTGTAGTCCTAAGTCACCCAGATTTAATAAACCCTATTGTAATACCCCTCCAAAGTTGGGAACATTTGAATGCAGACACTGTAATGAATGAGGTTACAAAAGTACTCAACTCAAATGAAGATATAAAAGTAGATGATAGCTTAATGGTTACAGTTGGATCTATTGATATGCCAAAAGGTGGGGCAAAATTACCAATAACAACATTACTCGGATCAAACAACTCGTTGGAGAGAAAGCATTCTACTTTTCATGTTGAAAATGACAACAACAGTTGTCTTGCAATTGCAATTGGGATATGTTTTTTAAAACTATGTGAAAAACTTGACTCTATTAACTGGAAATCTTTTAAAGAACAGAATACTGGATTATCTAACCTTGAATTAATTATTAAACATCGAAAGGTTTCTCTGAAATTTTACGAGAACATGTTGTTAAAAAAACGTAAATCAGCTCAGAAAAAGATGGCAACGTTCCTTTGTAAGAAAGCAGGTGTACCCACAAATAGATATTTAGGTTTAAACGACATTCCTATGTTCGAAAAAATTTTGGATGTAAATATTTTGGTAGTTTCCTCTACTGTAGGTAACAAATTTGTGAGAGTGGTTGAAAATAATGAAAAATCAAATTTATATATATATCATGTGGAAAATGGTAAAGAAAAACATTGGCATGGAATCGCAAATATACAAGGGTTTTTCAAAGCTGCATATTTCTGTACGAGGTGTTTAAAACCATATAAAAGTAGACAAAATCACGTATGCGAAACTACCTGCAATGTGTGTTTGCGGGATAGTTGCTTAGACAGAGGGGGGGCAATGAGTTGTCGTTCGTGTGGTCGAGTGTGTCGATCGATGGAATGTTTTAGAATTCATAAAAAGAAGAAAACGATCAGAGGTAAAGAGTACCCGAGTCAATGCGATTCTATTTATCAATGCAGAACATGTAAAAAAACAATAAAAAATTTGGAAAGAATGCCTGAGAAGCATGTATGTGGTGAGTGGAAATGCACTACATGCTCTCAATACCAAACACATGAACACTTCTGCTTCCAAAGAGGAATGACTGTGGATTTGAAAAAAAGAAATAAAAAATTTATCTTTTATGATTTCGAAACTCGACAAGATGAAACCATACAATGTGAAAGGGGATTTCGACCATCACCAACAAGATGTAGGAAATGTGTTGGTCATGAATATCAATGTAGTGATTGTCGACTCTGTAAGAATTGCCGCGAACCCCCCTGCGGTCTCTCACAACATAAAGTAAATTTTGCAGTTTTACAAAAAACTTGTTATAAATGTGAGAATGTTCCACTAACACCCGAATCAACATGCGCTAACTGTGGAACACGTTGTAAAAATTGTTCGAAGAGTGTGAAAAATTCGTTTGTAAACCCACCATGTGATAACAAATGCGGAAAACGAGAAATTGTGTTTGAGGGGGATGATACCGCAGAACAGTTTTGTTCTTATATCACACAAGAGCACAATGCCGGTTCAATTTTAATTGCCCATAATGCAAAAAGTTTTGATTTATATCCTGTTTTGGAAGTTCTGATTGATCGTCACTCAATAAGACCTGATAAAATTATTTACAATGGTTCGAAAATTATGTATATGCACGTGGGAAGAAAACTTAATTTAACATTTCTAGACTCATTGAATTTTCTGCCAATGAAATTGGCCAAAATACCTGAGACATTTGGATTAAATGAATTGTGCAAGGGGTATTTTCCTCATTTGTTTAACACTCGTGAAAATCAAAATTATATTGGTTCTTATCCTGATCCCCTTTATTTCGGTGTTGAATCGATGCAAGCATCAGAGAGAAAAAGATTCATGGAATGGTATGAAACCAAAAAAGAACATGAAATATTCAATTTTAAAAAGGAGATGTTGAAGTATTGTAGATCGGATGTTGACATTTTACGTCGTGGTTGTTTGGAATTTAGACGAATCATGATTAAGGTTACACAGAAAAAAACTGTGGACAGAAAAGACGACGGTACATTGAAAATATCAACAACTCTTGGTGTTGATCCATTTGACCATGTTACAATTGCTAGTGTTTGTATGGCTATCTATAAAACTCTTTTTCTGGAGGAGGAAATCGAAATAGAAATTAAAATGTCTGACTCAACCAATCCAATATCCAAATGGTATAAAGTTTTCACTGATGGGAATCAATCCAAATTCATAGAAATTGGGGATAGTAAATTTTCCTTGGATGTAATTAGTAAAGACCCTAACTTTCAAGTTGGTCAAACACGATTTCTTAAAAGCCCAATAGCAGCTGTTCCTTCTACTGGATATGTTGCTAGAGATAATTACAGTAAGATTTCCATACAATGGCTAGAATGGGTTATGGAAAAAAGTCGTTTAAACGGCATACCCCTTCATATACGCCATGCACTTAATGGAGGAGAAGTTCACATACCAAGTACAAACTACAGATGTGATGGTTTTTCGGACTATACAAAAATACAAACAAAGAAAGGGACGATATACGAATTTTATGGTAAAGTATTTTACCTTATTTTGTTACATAATTGATAACATTAAATAATAATGAAATTATAAGTTTTCACTCATTTTTTTTTGTAGGTTGTGTATTTCATGGCTGTCCTAGCTGCTATCCAGATGATAGAAGCACCCTGAAACATTCATCGACAGGGCAATCAATGGAAGAATTATACACCATTACTAAGAAACGAGAAAAGGAATTAAGGGCATTAGGGTACATTATAGTTTCAATTTGGGAGCATGACTTTTTGAAACAATTGAAAACGAACAAGGTTTTGAAAGAATACGTTGCAAATCTAGATATTCAAGATAGACTTAACCCTCGAGAAAGTTTCTTTGGAGGGCGCACAAACGCAATTAAACTTCATTACAAAGCAAAAGATGATGAAAAAATTCATTACTATGACTTTACCAGTCTGTATCCTTGGACTAACAAGTATAGTAAATATCCCATTGGACACCCCGAAATTTTAACAGACGACTTCAAAGACTTATCCCAGTATTTTGGATTAGCAAAAGTTAAAGTATTACCACCAAAAGGATTATATCATCCAGTCCTACCCTACAATTCAAATGGCAAGCTGAAGTTTCCTCTGTGTAAAAAGTGTGCAGATGAAGAAAACCAGGATACATGTACATGTTCTATTGACGAAAGGTGTATTATCGGAACGTGGTGTACCCCAGAATTAGAACTAGCAATTTCAAAGGGATATGAAGTTTTAAAAATTTATGAAATATACCATTTTAAGGATGCTACACAGTATGACAGATTTTCTGGTCAAGGCGGGCTCTTCTCTCCGTATGTTAACATGTTTCTTAAAATAAAGCAAGAGTCGTCTGGTTTTCCATCGGGATGCATTTCATTAGAAGATAAACTTGAATATATTCGTCAGTACGAAGAAAATGAGGGCATTCAATTAGAATATCATAACGTAAAGAAAAATCCAGGTTTACGCTGTTTAGCAAAGTTATGCCTTAACAGTTTCTGGGGAAAATTTGGACAAAGATTGTTGATGCGACAGTCAGAATTTATTCACGAATCGGAAGCAGAAAAGTTTTTTAAACTTTTGTCTGACGTTCGAAAAAATGTGAATAATTTTCATATAATCTCAAATGACACAGTGCAACTAGAATGGATAGAAGATCCCTTGTTTCCAGGAGTTGATAACAAGACCAACATTTTCTTGGCGTCGTTTACGACCATGTGGGCACGATTGAAATTATACAGTGTTCTGGACATACTTGGAGAAGATGTCTTATACTTTGACACAGATAGTATAATCTTTAAATCCAAAATTTCTGACGATCTTCGTCGACTGCCCATTGGAAACTACCTAGGTGAACTTACGAATGAAATAAAACCCCAAGATGGATTTATCACAGAGTTTGTATCGGGTGGACCAAAAAACTACGCTTACAGGACATTGTCAGGAAGAGAAGAATGTAAAGTTCGAGGATTTACCTTGAATTGGAAAAACTCGAAACTTATAAACTTTGATGCTATTAAAAGTATGATTTGTACCGGACAAAACGACTCTGTGACAATTACGAACCCATGTAAGATATCCAGAGACAGTCGAAAAAGAAAACTTTTCAACCGAATCGAAGAGAAGAAATACCAAATGGTTTATACCAAGCGTAAAATCTTAAGTAATCTGGACACACTTCCATATGGATATTAACTATATACAAGTGATTAAGATAATCAATGTTTTATTCAATAATTGATTAAAATAATGTTTCATTTCTTCACGCTTTTAAAATAAAAATATTGAACACACAATATCGTTTTCATTTATAAAAAATAAAAAAAAAAGAAAGAAGAGTTTTGTCGCATTCATTCATTGTAGAATTTAAACTGTCAGTATTTTATCCAATTAATACTTCTTATTCTGTCAATAGTACTAGTCCTCCTTCTTCTGGTGATTTCACGGATACCCGGTGGACATCCTTTGATTTGTTTTGGCGTAAATGTCTGTAATTTCTGCGTGCAAGTATCTTCCTCTTGATCATGTATGTCAACATTTTCGTTTAAATCCATTTTATTCTCAGATGTATGTTTTAGAGAATCACATTCACTCATCTCTTTTTCCTGGCTATTATCTGTATCCAATTTGATAATTTTTTGGTACTTTTGTTTGGGGATAAGAATTAATTCCCTAGCCATTTCGATCTAATCTATCAAAATATTTCACGACTGGATTTAAAATCCAGACTAAAAGCTTAGGATTTTTTAACAAAATTGCACGTTTTCGTTTAGACGTTACTTCTTTTGAGCCAAGAAGACGAATGAATGAACTAAAAGGTTTCAAAATTTTTATGTATCTTCCGTGTAATGGAAAAGATCCTGTATATATGTTCATTGCTATTTCGCTAATAGCATGTAATTGCTGCTCTGTAAGTGTTTTGATAATTGCCCGCTGTTGATTGAGATCAGCACGAGTGAAAAATCTAAGAAATAATAATTCCCTCCGTATTTGTCGAGTCATTGTTCCGAAATACTAGATTTTCAAATTGTAAATCCTTTTTAAATAGGTTGATAAATTGTGACATCTTCATTAGGAAGTATATGTGATCTTAGCTGATAATTTTTATCCTGATTTGGTTCTAAGCAGATATGTAAATATCCATATTTTTCACGCGTAGCAGATTCATATGCCGATTTAAAATAGATTGAATTTCCCGGAAAAAGTTGAGAACCTAATGTAATGACCTGACGACAGTCTCTATAGTTCTTAAATAAAATTACATTGAGGCAGTTTAATGAAATCGTTCGAGCATATTTTCCTGGAGGATAAAGATTTTGAGTCAGAAATATTACACTGATATTACGATGATGGCTAGTAACAGTAAAAAGCTGTACACATTCCTTCGATTCTGCAATTTTTATCATAAGGTCATCCAAAACTAATATTGTATGATTCGATTCTTCTGAAAATAGCTCGATGTCTTCATTAGAAGGAAGGCCTTTGTGAAACGTTATTTCAGGTATAGTTTTTTTCATCTCATCAAAGATTTCTTGATATTCAGAATATGCATAAACTATCTTTTGTGCTGGCCGTATAAACATTCCATATGCACATTCTAATAATTGCTTTGTAAAGTACGTTTTTCCACTCTGAGTACTACCACTTATTAAGATGGTAGTTGGTACTGAAAATGGAATCAAAGCCTCTTTTTGCCACCAATTAACAGTAGATACCTGCTCCATGTTACCACTAAAGCAGTAAATAATAAACTACAAATTATTTGTTCCGTCCATCTATTTTATTTAAAAAAAAGAAATTAATATTTCTACTAAACAGACTATATTATAATTTACCTAAGATATCTGAGCATAAACTTATATACATACATGTCATTCATATGTAAATCATTCGTAAAACTAATGTACACATTTAAAAAAGACTTCTTGAAATACAATCTCATTATCAAAAAATATAACACATACAATCCACAAAAATCTGATCCTCTGGACTGAATCCTTTGTTTGTTAAAGGTTACTTTGCTACTATTCCTTTGCAAAAAACTTGCAATATCTCGATTTTGAGACGGAGATTGTCCAAGACTATCAAAATACTCAGCATCAGAAGCATTGCGAATAATGATGGCAACCCAGTGTTTACCCGGTAGCGGTAAAGGTTCAGTGTTAACAATAAAAGCACTTGGATATTGAGAAACCTTATTTGGTAAGGTATTACATGCAAACACACCCTGTACAAAATTATCAAAAAGATTATTATTATTTTTAATAATATTTTGCAACTGTAACGTATTCATGGTTGAATGTAGTTGATATCACGAGCTTTGTTAATTTCAAGCAAGGCTGAGTAAGTTGAAAATACCACGGCGTTTAAGGCTTCTGTAGTAGCAGTCTTAAATTTCAGCTCTACTCTAGTATTTCCACGACGTATCAAGTTTATATACTCTTCTCCAAATCCACAAGGATTGATAGTAAACACGTAAAATGCATAACCTTTCCCAAAGTCTTCTCTGTCTATGTATAAGCCTGTATCTTTGTTCCACTTTCCACAAGGTTCAAATAATCGCGCATAGGCTGAAGCATAGTTTCCAGCTTCGAAGTCCAATTTTAATGGTCTACCGGGTATACTTTCACCGTTAATATAAACACCCACATCTGTTATTGCATACGGTGCAAAATTGAATGGATTGGCTGAGTAGTCTCCATTAACAGCACTTTGAGACAATAGACCAATTATTATACGATCAGGTACAGCCTGTGGGAATATATTGTCCCAGTAAAATTCCGTAGATCCTTTCGGTATGGTATTCATCTTCACTTCGTTTCTTGGTAAAATATATTTGGCTGGGGTAGATTCTATCTGTTTACTGTGATTGATTAATACTCCAGGATCAACTCTCACTTTTGCAACTTTATACACAACATCTAAAAGTTCTAGTTTGTAAGCAGGGGATGCCTCCGCAGACATGATAATAAATGGTATGCATGATCGGAATAATTTCATGTAAATATCTACACCATTGATAAGGTACTTATCAAGGTCAAATATATCTTCCATTAAGCTTCCTTCCATTTCAAAAACATTGCTTTTCTGTGTATAAGAATATCTTTCGACTAAGCCTGCATTTCCGCCATTATATGCATTTGGATCTGCTAAATTCCCTTCGTCTTTTGTAAACAACTGCGATTGTTTCTGAGATAACAATTCATCTCGACCGCTAAATAATACGGTTTTCATATAAGCTTTCCAAGGGTAGTTGGTAGTATTCAGAGATATTAATTTGTTATTCAAATAAATATCCATCTGGGAGAAGATGCTTTGTAAAGGCAAATTTATTATTCCGGTTTTTTCAGCCGCAGCCAAAGCTTGACCATCAGCTTTTATAATCCTAGCTTTAACATACAGTTTACTTTTCCTGAGATCAATATATTCAGCTCCTGCTCCAGACACAACAATTTCAATTGGAGTATCTGAGGCACTTATATTAGAAATCGGTCTTGCTTCCGTATAATAAACCTTTTCAACTGCAACCTGATTGGATGGGGAGGCAAAAAGGGAAAGTTCCATAGGCTGAGCAATCTCTTGGTTTTCACTGCTAAGGAATGACATTTTTTTTCTAAATTATTTTTTGAAGATGGTCCTGAAACTGTCAATTTTAAATTCCCTCTTTTTTGAAGTTGTATTTTTTCTTTTTAATTTTCCAACATTAGTTATTTTCTTTTTCTTCGTTATTTCCTTCTTTTTCGGTGATTTTTTCCGATTCAATCTTAAAGTCTTGATTTGCTTAATGTAAGTTTGCTGTGATTTTTTCAAAGGTACGCTCTTCTTGGTCTTCTTTATTGAAGTGAAATTGATATCACCGAGGTGCCTTTTTATACCCTTTTCCAATTCAACATGTGGATTTCCCTCTTGAACATCCTTTTCATGTTCTGAGATAGCTCGTTCTTCGACGGAAGCTAAAGGAGTTACCAGCTTAGTTGTTTCAGGGTTTTCAAACTGTGCATGTGGCTTTACAGGAATTGAATACGACTTCTTAATATTACTACCTCTCCCTGTCTGTTTTGGTTTGTACATATAAGGATTGAATTTCTTTTCAGCCATATTTTTATAGAAAGTCTCCCAAAGTTTAGGATCGCTTACGTATGTTTGACTATTCATTATAAAACAAATGGAATTTTTTTCAGGTGAAGCGTTATGGTCACTGGAGCGTCAAAAAAAGAAATGAGATTTCCAGCTCTGTCAGTGAGTTTTATACTAATTTGCTGAATTTGGGTATTTTTTATAGGTACATAATATGGTGAAGTATATATAATATTATCTTCTTTTCTATCTCCCAGGAAAATTCTTCTTAATAATTGCATTTCATTACCTCCTATAAATGTTTCCTCACAAATGTCACAACAAACATATATTTCTGATTTCTTTTGAGATGGAATCCAGCTTTTTGTAGAAAATTCAGTTAAACCTATCACCCAATAGCCATCAAATTGTATCTGCTTATTAAATTGAGCCCTAAAGCACTGAGGCCTATTATCAAAATATTCTGTACTGTCTGTTGATGCTAACACCATCCGTAGACTCATGTTGAATGGAAGAAATCCATTTGAACACTTTAATTTATTTATTTATTTATAATTTTCAATTGATCTCTCAGGTAACCAAGAGTTAAACTTCTTTGGCCACCCTTCCCATTTAACCAAGACCTCAGTCTGCCCGTTTCTTTTCCTTTTTTGAAGCACTTTTTCTATGCGATAGAGAATATCGTCAGGTTTTTGAATTTTTTGCAGCTCATACTGATAAAATGTTCCCTGGATTGGGTCATCCATAAGATCATTCAGCTTATAAATAGGTATTTTCCCTCGCAAATAACGTTTCACCACTTTGAAATATTCCTCTGACCATTTTTGCTGATAGTCTCTTTGAAATGCACGTTTCAGTTGTGTCATTCTTACATTATCACCTATTTTGAATTTAAATATTGTTTGTTTTTTCTTTCCTTTGCGCTTTGGATCATTATTTTGTTTTCCTTGTGCTAAATACACAGATAATCTAGTTTCGTCTGCATTTTCGGGTTTTACGGAGGCTGGACTTAGTCCACCGAGAGATCTGTGGGGTCGTTCATTGTAACTTTCTACAAGTTTTTGTAAAATTTCTACGTATCGATAGGTTTGGTTTTTAAAAAAATACCGATACATCATATTTTTTATTGTTCGTATTACTCTCTCCGCATAATTAGCTTTTGTTTCATTTTGAGTATATATTATATTCACATTTTCTTTCACTAGATATGACTTGACCCATCGATTCTTAAACTCACTTCCCTTGTCACTTCTTAGAACTTGGGGTTTTCGACCATATTTAAATATTTTCTTCAACCCATCTATGATATTTTGATGATGTTTTGATTTCAATGGAATAATGAATAAAAATCTACTAAATATATCAATTAAAACTAGTAAGAATCTAAATCCATCGTTTTCTGACGCAATGTTGCCAACATCGGCCAAATCACCATCCCACATAGAATCGATAGTGTCGACAATAACTTTTGAACGATGAAATTTCCTTCTGATTGGTTTAAACAAACTGTATGCGTCTTCATTATTGAGAAACTGTTTGATTTTTCCTCTACCGAGTTTATATTTTCCTTCCTTCTTAACAATTTGATACAGTTTGTCCGGCCCTGAAAAAGCAGCAGGACTACCAGGATGAAAATATATTTTCTTTAGGTAGTCTTTATAGGTTGACATATCTTTTCAAGTGTGTAATATGTTTGATATATTGCTCATTTTATATCATTTTTTTAGCAACAAAAAAAAAAAAAAAACAAAACAAAACAAAATAAACCTTACATTCATTTTATTTTTAAAAGATCGCATATTCTCAAACATGTAATGAATAAAATATATTTTAAAAGATTTAATTTTTTTTAAATATATTTTTAATTATGCATACATAAATATGATTTAATATTGTATAGATTAAAATCAAATACAAAATACAAAGTGTGCAAAAGATATACATATAAAATATTATCTCTCTATATATAAATTGTCATTCCGATAGAAATGTCACTTTTTAATTTGATGAACGTGTTCTGTTCATAGAAAATCCGATTCTTGATAAATTCTGCCATTGATGGATATTTACAAGAGGAACGCAAATGTCATTTTCAGTTGGATAATCATCCTGACATTTCTTTAATTCTATTCCCATACCATCTTTTGAAACACAGGTTCTCAAAAAAACATTAACAGGGAATTGTGACTGTTCCTTAGGGTGACAGGTTTTGTTCTGGCGCAACTTTTCAAACTTCCCTATTGCACTATTTGACATGGTTAGAGATCTTCTGTTTGACTCTTTAGACAAGTTAACAACTACAGAAGTCAAAAACAGGACGATAAGAATCGTCATACCAAATAATTTAGTAGCTGCAATGGAACTTTTTAACCTGTCTTTAGATGTTGCTGAGAGGGTTTTATTATAATTCTTTATAATGTCATCTACAAATGGAGCAAATTCCTTTTCCGAAATAGCAACAACCTCAGTCATCTTTGTATTCTTTTTAAATAACCCATTTTTTGAATTCTTAACACTTATATATGAAAATGTTTAAATTGTTTGCATCTGAATAACTCTTCAAAAGTCAAATCCAATGCAAATGTCCTCTTTTTCAGAGTCGTTGTCATCAATATTGAGGGATGATATCTCCTGTTCAGAATCGTCTGCGTTACATTCCATTGAAAGAGATTTCGATTCTTTTGGAAAGGGGGTGCATTCTGGGCATGAAAGCATTCCCTCTTGGTTCTGATGGGATTCACTAAACATACAAAGTTCTACATTGTTTAGTTCAGGGACATAATCATGAAGCTCTTGTAAAGCAGCTTTTAATCGAGCAAACATTGTCTTGTTAAGACATACTCCTTTCTTGGTAGGTATTGGACTTTCAACGCTCTCTGGTTTCCAATAATGTCTTACATCAACTGTAGCAAACTTTGGTGTTAAGGAAACAAATACACCTCCTCCAATATGCCATTGTATTTCCGCAGACTGTCTCCAGTAAGTTTGGAGATAGGTGTCAATCTCCTCAATTAATGATTCAAATTTCACCCAGCGCCCTAGGTTAAACGTGGCTCCTCTTTTTGATGGGAACATTCCTCCATTATTCTCTATGAAATGACGTAAATGGATAATAATATCACCTCTGTAAACTGTGGCCGTCAGGAAAACGTTATTTTTTTCATCCAAATTTATCTTACATCTTGTTTCTGTTTGCTCTTTTCTTTGATGCGGAGTGTTTGTTCCTTTTTTGACATCAATTATTAGTGATCGAGCTGAAGCTAACTTCTTTTCGTATTCTGTCAATGTGCTGTCGTCATAATCATTCAGTAGGAGTTTTGATAAATTAAGATGCCCCGATTTCATAAGTGCCTTGTGCAAACCTGTGAAAGCTTTGGGTCCTCTCCGTAAAATGATGCTTATCAATTTTCTATTTTGTTCGTTGTTAGTTCTCTGTGAGCTTATGGTTTCTCTCATGTCTTCTGTAATAATCCCGTCTTCATAGAGTCGCTGTGCCACCCAAGTTGCAGTCATATTTTTTACCAGAAGTGAGTAGTTTTTTTTAATGATTTCTTTGTGCTTGTCATCCATTCTGACAGGTGTAGACTACTTTTTGCAACAAATGAAAATTCAGTTTCAATTTCTCCTTAAATAGTAGAATTTAGTAGGTCAGGTCATCTAAATAGGTCATGTATCCTGAGGAAAAAGGTCGACCTAATAATTCGCAATTGAGGTCATGACCTGATTCATTATTTGACCTGACCTACTTAAGTGACCTAAGCCTCCGTGTTTTGACCTACTTAGGTGCCTATGACCTCGGTGACTAGTGTTGACCTGACCTACTTTGGTGACCTTGACCTCAGTGACCTGACCTTGACCTCATTTTGGCTTTAGAAAAGTGAGTGTCAGGTATACCCTATGCTGCTCAAAAGACAGTCTTAACAGTATCCATAATCAAGTCAAAAGACTGCCTTAACAGCATCCATAATCAAGTCAAAAGACTGTCTTAACAGTATCCATAATCAAGTCAAAAGACTGGGGGAGATGTAATTTTCCAATTCTTTGCAATCTGATTTAACTGTAATTTCAGTCTTGCCAACTGCCTCATTCTCTGTGATATATTGCGAGTCCTTCTTGGCCCCAACTGATTTATGAGGATTTTCCCAGACACGAGGATCAATTTGTCACTGACAACAGCATCATAGATCTCGTCTTGCCTCATTTTGGTTAGTATCGTGTCTTTGATTTCTGCTGGAATGTCGTCATTAGATGGCATGGGTTCCAAGCTTCCACCAAGAAGCAACCTAGCAATGATTCCCTCTTGATGACTGGCATCATTCCAAAGGCAACTTCTTGCATGTCGCCATGATTCTTTTTTTAAAGAAAAAGCCGAAGGAGTATACACATGGCAGATAGTTTTTGTCAAATGACTTCCTTTGCTTGACCTTTGACATACTATTAAGGAATTTAAAACCTTTAAATTATACTTGAGATTTCCTACATTTTTAAACTTGTCCAGGTGTTTCTTCTATTCTTGTTTTGATATTTTT